TTTTCCTGATTACCCCAAAATTCAGATATTAAAAAAAACTAAGAGAATAAAACAATTTTTACGTAATTTACACGGCAATATTACTTACCATTAATTAATGGGAAAATTAAATTATACCCTCTTGTACAAAATAGGTTTCTATTACAACAGAATTCTGTAAAAGTAACAATATGTGATGGCAATATAAGCCAGTAACTATAGAAAATAGAAAAATAGTACAAAGTTCAAATATTACACATAGAAAGTTCAAATCTTCATCTGAACCCATCTTCCTTAACATTAAAGATCCTGTCAATATATTAACAAGTGTTGATGCAATGCTCAATGGCGCAACATTCATATGTAATACTTTAAACATTCTATGTATTTAACATGATGTTAAATGTGAGGTAGTGGAAGTCTAGGTTAAGCCATTACCTATGGAAGTATAAATATTTTATATACCTTGTATGCTTTCAGAACAGTTAACTGATCACTATTTCCGACAGCAAACGTTTTCTTCCTACTATCAGCCAGCTCTTTCTTCCCAAATGGAGCGACAAAAGGAGATTTGTGAGATAGGCAAGCTGCAATTGTCAGCGATGAATCCACACAACAAAAAATAGCACCATAGATAATAAGCTTCCCTATTCTGAAAAACAGAAGAGGTTAATTAGATGTTAATTTCAATGAATGTAAAAAGCAAGAAGATATTAAAAGGACTAAATTTTCTCAAATTATGAATATAAAAATCTTATCAAAATTGTATACATGATTGGCAGTTTCTGAATGAGCCCTGCTCCAAAAATAAGCAAGTAAAAATGCACTTTAACATAAACTTCACTTGAAAAATTTATTAAGTGCAAATATTAGTTTTAAATGTTTTTTTTTTCTCAAAATAATCAATTTATGTAGAACTTGAAGATGTGCAAATGATGACACGCGATTTTTATTATGAAACAGCGAATATTAATATTAGATTAAAAAAGAAGTTGGTCACTTTTCCTGCTTGATTATAATTTCTGAATCAGAAGCTAAATTCATTATCATCTGGCTAAACTCATTAATTCAAATCACAAGTTACATTGTGTTTTTATAGAATTATTTTCTATACTGAGTATCAATACTCAAAATAAGGATCATTTCATAATATTAGCTCTAATGAATACTTAATGTCAGATAATTTTAATAGATTCAAATGCCTTTAACAGTTATTCTTCTGGATCTTTAACATCAATTTTTATTGAGTGTTTTGTCCAGATCCTTTGATCCAATGAGCTAATGCTGAGAAGGGCTATTACAGACATGAAAAGTAGTTCTCCTCTCCCTTCAGTATACAATAAATGACTAAATAAATAGAGTAGAACCTCGCTAATCCAAATCCCACAAATCAGAAATTTCGAATAAACCGAAAATATATTTGGGATGTAGCAAAATATATAAGATGCTTTTTTGAAGGGTAAAGAAAGGATTTTATAATTACTGTAATTACTATAATACTAAGAACTAATTATTGAAACCCAAGGTATTGAAATGAAATGTTTATTGCACTGGTAATTACGATGTATATCACATGTTTATGTAGCAGTAATTTTCACTTAGAGGAACTTGCAGAATTAGTAATCGTCTTTTGTTGTAAGGAACTGAATCTGCTTGATGCATTGCTATGCTGTGTAGCCATTTCCTCACAATGCAGGCTACATTGTTCATTATTCTTCATGTCTTCCGGGCTGATAGGCCGTGGTCCAATTGGCTCTGAGATGCCAAACGTTTCGCCCACGACTGCGAGTCAGTCGCCAGTCAGCCACCGTCCCGGACACTTCACCCGAGACCTCGCCACTGAAGATGCCCACCGCAGTCGTGGGCGAAACGTTTGGCATCTCAGAGCCAATTGGACCACGGCCCATCAGCCCGGAAGACATGAAGAATATTGACTCCGGCCATGAAAGCCTACAATGCTGTATACATTGTTCATTGTTTTGTCTGGTAATTCTACAGATGTGTTTGTAGATGTATGGTACATTTTTTTATTTAAACCGAACATTTCCGAATCTGAACAGACCACACCCTTAACTAGTTTGCATTACCGGGGTTCTACTGTAAAAAGTTCCCTTTAAAAGCACTATCTATGTGCTGTACCTGACATCCACAGGCAGAGCAGCCAAGTGCCTTCCAAGTGCAGTCAGATTGTTCTGAAGGTCCATCGCCCCAACGTCCTTCAGCCGTTGCAATGCACTGTCTATGCTGTCAGCAGGTGGAGGTTCCAGAGTTCGACCTATCATTATCATTTACTGAGATGGAATTTACATCACTAAATAACTACTTTCTATATATAATAATATTTAAATCTATATCTTTTCTCTTTATACAAATAAAAATAGTTTTGATGTAATTCTGCAAGAAATACTGACACATTTTAAACAATTATTTTCTCAAAAACTAGATTCAATTTTATCTATAAATTTCCCCCATGTGCAAAGGATTGTAAAAAAGCGGTGCTGATACCAAATATGGCACTCTCTTGGTATTTTTGATAATTACAAAAAATTAATACTTCCAAGTACAATATTGATGATGAAGATGTTTCTTAAATAATATTTACTCTAAACTAGTGAAGCTACAACAGGATTATTTGTAATCTTTTTTGCATTATTTATAAATTTGCAATTTTCCAAAATTTCTGGGTTCAACGAAAATGAGACCTGTGCCATTGTTTTAAGCATTCCTTGTTTTATCCATGGCAACAATTTGGAGCGTTTTATGAGAAAAATGGATTTTTTTGTAAATTGCATTAATTCCAAGCACAAATTACACAAAAACCACTAGATTTTTTTCCAAATATTGTGTATGGTCTTCTTTTAAGAATAGATTTTGTATTAGGCAAAAATCATTAACTTCAACTTTATAGATAAAAATTTTAACTTTTTTCGAAAATATGAAGAGTTTGCCAGAAACTACACAGGAACTTATCATCTTTTAATACATATTAAAAGAGAGAGAGAGGGAAGGAAAAAAAAATCCCCTTCTTCATTACCAGGGCCCGACATAAAAGTTTTTTGTTGAAAATTCACTGTTTTCTGGTGCACGATAATTTCTCTGTCACACAGTAGGGACAAGAAAGAATCAATGAGATTTTCAAATAAAGTCAGCTAAGTTAAATTCAGCTTGAATTTAATGCAATTTAATAACTTTTTTAATCAAAAATGGCTTCAGAGTTTTTTCCTTGGACGATAAAAAATTACTTTGAAATAATTCCTTACACAATAAGCAACGTTAAAAAAATTGGGTTGATCTTATTTTTGTAGAACATTCAATTTGAACAAGAAGAAGAAGAGGAGGAAGAAGAAGAGAAAGAAGAAGAAGAGACAGAAAAAGAGGAAGAAGAACAATAGAAAGAAAAAGAGGAAGAATAACAAGAAGAGAAAGAAGAAGAGGAATTGGAAGAAGCCTTACTGAATTTCATTACCAATTCAGTATGACTGTAAATTTACTTTCAAGAACAGTGGGAATATATTGTAAAGGGTAGGAGGCAAAGGTAAAGTTATTGAATGCACTAGTATGTAACTACAATCCTATTACTGCTCCCCCATTCTAGTGAGACTTATCAAGAAGTAAGAGTTTGGTTCAAAGAAAAATAATTTTAGCACTCAACACCATCCAAAACAAACAAAAAAAAATCATTGAATTGAATTGAATTAATGCCTTATTTTACGTGGCGAGACTCAGGCCAACAGGCCCGCTCTTCTGTCTGACCACACAAATTTCGCTACGCTCCTTTCACGAACTAGCAGAGAGAGGAGGTATTTCTTGAGCGAGAAACAGGCAATTTGAATTTAGCTCAGAGGAATCATTTAGACTTGAGGATCTTTTACATGCAAATAAATCTACTAACATGGGACAGACGGCTTTACTTCCCCTCCAAAGGAAGGCATAAGAAGGCCCTTAAAAATACACAGCTTCGATCGTGTTTGAACCCGCCAACTTGGGTATAACAGTCCGATACACTAACCATTACACCATCGCCGCACACAAAGCATACTTGCCTAAGACAGAATGAACATCTAAATGTGAAAACAAGGTAAGTGTCTTAATTCGCAGTATCAATTGCTCCAGTGGTACACGATGCAATTCTGGAATAGGCTGCTTAAGGAAGTGAAAGTCGAATCGATGCTTCGTGAACAGGTGGAAGCACACCCCCGCCATCACTCGGCCAGCACGGCCTTTGCGTTGTTGTGCATTAGCTTGAGATACCCATACCAACTCCAAACTTTCCATATTACGGTTGGAGTCAAATCTCTTTTCTTTCATTCTTCCACAGTCCACAACAAACACACAGTCGTCAATTGTTACCGAAGTTTCAGCAATGTTTGTTGACAAAACTATTTTACGTGCACCACCTTTTGGTTTCCTGCAAAGGGGAAACATGTATTATTAGAAACCATAGCAGTAGCTTCACCAGAAAATAGAAATAAAACCAACATTTCTTGTTAATGTTCACATCCCCAACAGAAATTAAGGTTACCCATTTCCCTAAAACAAATTAAGTACATATTAACTGAAACATAAAAATATATAAATAATAAATGATTTCAACATTTGACAAGAGTTAATTGGTGGGACTATTAAGTTGCACAATGCTTAATGAAAGTAAATTTACTCAGGTGAGAATATTTCTAGTAACTTGCCAAAAAAGCTAAACATAGCAGCAAAAGCCAAAGAGTCTTTTTTCCAAATCCTAACATTGACTGTACATATAGATACTTATAGAATAGTGGTTTTAGGACAGATTGCGCAAATTCACTAAAAAATATTTGACCACTAGCTGGCAAAATGATTTGAAACTAATAGTGCTTCAGTCCATTTCTAAGTCTTTTATTATTTCCACATAAAAGACTACAGATCCTACCAATGACTTATTAGAGCTGAGAAGTTTATGCAAGTTTAAACTTAGTCCTGAAATATGCCACACAAATTGTTAAGATATGCGGAGTATGGTCACAAAAACGTATTTTATAATGAAATTACATATTTTGCAACCCAAAGACAGTGAATATGCAAATTAAAAATAGATTAGTAACTACTTCTGACATTTTATTTTGCATTAACAGCACAGGAAGCCACAAACATTTATTAAGGTTATCTGTTGTTAGGTTCTGTCTCCTATCAGGTAATATTATTTTGTACATAGAAAACTATATTTTGACATCACATAGTATTTTGGAATACTCTGTTTGAGCTCAATACATTGTCTGTACTAGAAGCAACAAGAAAGTTCATGCTTTCCATTAATATATATTTTACGTGTAAATTCAAATATTTGCATTATTTTAGGCAAAAAATAAAACAAATTGTAAAAACTTTCATTTATATGCAAAATATGCATTATATGCAGAACATTTCTTACCTTATTTTCAATATTTTGCCATGAAACATACACATTTGAAGTTTCAGGAAAATATGACCATTATCAAAAAACATGTAATTGATGAACTTCCCAGCTCTAGATATAGTAAAATAATAGCATATTTTTCTAATTTATAACGGGGTTACATTCATATTTTAGATGAGTTGTATATAGTAACCCTCAAAAGTCTACACTAGAACTATTAATACTGTAATGTAATGATGAAATGATGGAACTAACAATAAGGAAACCTCTTTCTGTCGTAAAATACATTATTTGTTATATCTTCAATTATTTGTGGTAGCTGAATTATGTACTTTTACAATTTTTCATTATGTTACAATATTCCAATTCTATCTAAACACAAAGTGTTATTGTTTTCACAGCCGACAATGTACAGCAGCATTTTGAAGCACGTAATTTAAAGTATAACTGATGTTGTTGTAGTCTATCAAGACTGGTTGGTACTCACTTAAAGACAGCAGCCTGCTCCTCACTACTGAGTGTAGAATGAAGTGGCAGCAGTGAAATCTGGCCTCCTCTTGAGCCCAAAATAGGGTTGTCATTAATCTGGTCGTACAAAGTTTGAATTTCTGCCAAACCAGGCAGGAACACCTATTGCACAATAGTAGTTCTTTAAAGTGATTTACAACACAAATGCTAACAGCAGTCAGTAATTTATAAAGCAAGAAATATATTAAGCCCAAAACAGGCACACCCATTTCACTTATATTATTGGGCAGGAAAGAGAGGGGGATGGGGAGAGGTATGGAGAGGAGGAGAGAAGAGAGGGGTCACAGGGAGAGGGGAGACGGGAAGAGAGGGGAGAGAGAGGGGAGGGGGAGAGGGAAAGAGAGGAGGTGAGGAAGGGGGAGATGAGAAAGAAGGGTGAGAGGGACAGAGGGGAGGGAGAGGGGGAGAGACGAGGTGAGGGGAAGGAGAGGTGGACAGAGGGGAGGGTGAGGGGAAGGAGAGGTAGACAGAGGGAGGGATGGAGAGGGGGAGGGAGAGAGGGTGGGAGGGAGATCTGAGGTATAGAGAGGGAGGGGAGAGCGGGAGAGAGCGGAAGGGAGAGAGAGATAAAAAGCACACAAAAAAGAAGAAGAAAGCAATATTTACTAGGCTGTCCGAGTGACGCCACGTCCATAGCGAAGCTGCTGACGTTTTGGTCGCTATTCTGCGACCTTCTTCATGGCGTAATGCACCTTGGCCATGGACGTGGCGTCACTCGGACAGCCTAGTAAATACTGACTCCGGCCGCGGAAGCCTACGCTCTCAAGAAGAAAGCAAGCAAGGGGAAAGAAAACAAGTGAGACAACTCAATAACAACTGTTGCCCTGAATCTTTTCAGATGGAGAAAGAAAAGCTGTTGACATTGATGCATTGTAAATTTAAGAAAGACATAGAGACTGTATTAAGTCTCTCTCCATTTACATTTTTTCCTTCAAATGTAGCAAAGGACTTCAAAAAAGTGATGCTGATCTCACTTTTGGTGAACATGCTTTACTTTCGAAAATTGGAAAAAAGTAACATTTCAAAAAGTACAAATATTGATAACAGATTTCTTTCTCATATTAAATCTGTTCCAAAAAATTATATATTCAAAAAAAAATTGTATATAATTTTTTTATTTTTTACAAAAACAAGTTGTTTTTGTGAAACATCTGTTGGATGTCAATGCAATTTATATTTTTTCTCAAAAAGATTTTCAAATGTTTTCTTTCTCAATGAATAGAAAAGATGCTGTTCAAAACATGACACAGGTCTCATTTTTGCTGAACTCTATATAATTGCTGAAGTTAGAAATAATGCCTAAGGAGCAAATCTAGGGACTTTTGATGCCTCTACAATACTTTGTGCAAAATGTGGGCTGTTTCCAATAAAGCATTGTCTTGGAATTTCCAATCTTTTGAATGACCTGGGAGTTTAGCCACGTTCTAACACAAATTTTGAGGAACAAATTCTGGAGTTCTGAGAATTATAAGGATTTATGCCCCACATTTGGCTGATCTTGATTTCCAAAATCTTGTATTGAAGACTTTTCTATGCTTCCTTGATTATGAAGTTTTGATCACATGGCATTACAATATCTACAAGTAGACAGGATTTTTTGCCAAATCCTGGCGGTAATAACAATAAATAACAATATTCAATTAGTGCTGCTTTTGTACAATTCGTTTGAATTTGATGGTCGTACATTTGTTGGCTCATGAGAATAATTCTCTGGCATTGCTCATAGAAGTCATTATGTGTCAGACCTAACAATCATAAGCTGAAATCTGCAAGATTTAAACTTTGAAGAAGACTGTTCAACTCAACCTCCAAAAATCCTCTCCCTCTTTATGGCTATGGCAAAAAGGAACTTCCAGTTGGCGCTGAAGTCAAGAAATGCAAAGTCTGTAAAACACCATACAATCTGAGCTTTTATGCTCACCCCAAGGTCTTATCTACCGGTAGATTATCTTCTTGCTGCGCTATGGTTACCACGAAAAAAAAGGTGCTTGAACATCGTATGTCTAATTCAAAAAAGGACATGTTTGACTTTCAATGCCAAATTTGAACAGCTGACTTTGAGGTTTGCTGAGTAGGATGCGAAAATTGAAAATCTCTGAGTGAGTTAAATTCCCCGAAAGTGCTGATAATCACTTGATTGTCTCCCGCTCTCTGAAGGAAGGCATGCTTCGGGAAATAAAAAAACGGTCATAAATGAGCCTCAAATGTCATCTTCTACGATTGTGCCGCTAAGCTTGGAGAGGCTAATGATCTCGAGTGTCTCAACACCAAACTCGAATCACTTCCCCTTCTTTGTGTGGCGGTGTCAGAGCTGGAATGATCACCCCTCTCCTTTGGAAGTAACTGTTTCGTCTGATGTTGATGTTAAACTTATTCTCCGTAATAAAAGACGCCTTCAACCTCTCGGTATTTCTGCTAGAAACACCAAGACAACAAAATTACCTAAATACGTTGAGAGCTGAATTGGAAAATCACATTGAGAATGGTGGGAAGAACTTGAGAATACTTTACAGAAATGGAATCCCAAAACTTATTCAGAATCCAAAAAATTAAGTCAGAGATATTCCAGAGTACCTTCCATTAATGAAATTCATGTATATTATCAGAAATTCCATGTCAGAAACCTGTGAACAAAAATTGCAGATCCTGAGCAAGACATGGTTCATTGACATTTTCTCTGATGATGAATTTCAGAAGAATAATTATACTACTTTTCATCGAGATGATGATGCTCAGTCGAGCATAGATGAATGAGGAAGAGGTCTTCTCATTGTGATCAGAGATTCCTTGACTTCATTTCTGGTTACTATTGGTGCCCTAAACATTGAACATGTTTTTGTTAAAATTTTACTTAACAGGGTCAGCCTGATTGTTGGGGTCATATATTTTCCTCCATGCTCAAATTCATCATTAAATGACACACTGCTGACAATCTTCTAAATGTTGCTGAAGCAAATCCATCTGCTTCTATGCTCTTGACTGGCGATTTCAATGACTGGGCACATTTCAGCTATGATTCTCAAACACTTTCCCTCATTCTTTCTTCTTCGGTTAATGTGATAGTTATTACTTTTTTAAACGCACTAGCTCTACTCAACCTGTGTCAACACAATGGTATTGTTAATTCTAAAAACTCGTTGCTTGATCTCATATTCTCAAACTTTGACACTCTTGATGTACAGCAGTGTATTGATGATCTTATGAAATGTGATTCTCACCATTGTGCACTCACTCTTACCATGCAAGTTTTACATCCAATCGACTGTGATTTGAATCCTACTTATGATTATGTTTTTAAAACTGACAAATATATAATTATTTGTTCCGAACTTAATCTAATTGATTGGAGTTATTGTCTTAGAAACACAAATATTAATATGAATGTGGACATATTTTATCTTTCAGATATTAATACGAAAGTGGAAAAACAGAGTTAGTGAAAAGAAGTCTTTCTCTATTTGCTAATTGACTGCTATGTTCCAGTGAGGCTGATTTTTGCTAGCGCTTACCTGCCCTGGTATTCCATGGAACTGATCTATCTCATCCGGGAAAAGAAAAGGTTACATAAAGATTATAAAATATTAACATCGACCAACTCCTATGATTTGTTTTCTGCCATTAGAGGCAAAGTAAAGTATGTACAAAAGCTTTCCTACAATAATTATATTTCTTTGGTTGAAGAATCTATATCTTCTAATATCAATGTTTTCTGGACTCAATTACATTACACTACAAATCAACCATACCCCACATAATATGAACTATAGGTATACTCGTTGTACAGAATTGAGCGATGCCGTATCCATTTTTGCACAATACTTCAGTAATCAATTTCCAACACCACATCCTCCCTTTTGGCATTTTCTCCAGCTTCGTCGACGACCCTTTCATCGACATCTTCAATTGCGGTTATGTGATATCTTTGAGAAGCTTGGTTCTTTAAATCCAAGAAATGGTCCAGGTCCCCATCTCATACCTAATCTGTTTTCGTCACATTGCAGATACACCACAGCTAGCCCATTATTCTTACTATTTAATGAATCCATCAGATATGGGTCTTTTTCTGATGTTTGGAAGAAGAGCAAGATTATCCCTGTTCATAAAAAAGGTGATAAATCTGATGTGATGAACTGATACCCATTTCCATTTTAAGAGCCACTCCTATGCTGTTCGAAAAACTAATGTGCATTAATCTTACATCTTCTTTTAAGCCCGTACTCTCAGACTCCCAGCATGGATTCAGTGAGGGCAGGTCAACCTGTACAAACTTGGTCCTATTCAAAACGTTCGTTGGTGATTCGCTCACTGACGTCTCCCAAGTTGATACAATCTGCACGGATTTTGCTAAGGAGTACGCCCGGATTGATCATATGATCTTAATCCTCAAAACTAACTACGATGGGTTGGGTGATCTGCTTCTTTCATGGATCACTTCTTATTTGCATAACAGACTGCAGTATGTTTCTCTGAATGGTATCCACTTTGACTCTTACCGTGTACCATCTGGACTCCGTCAAGGATCTCACCTGGGCTCTTTACTTTTCAACTTGCTTATCAATGATCTCTCTACAGTCTTAAAACACAGTAATATCCTCCTTTTTTCTGACAACACTAAGATTTATCGTTTGTTAGTTGATACTGATTATGCCATCAAGTCGTAATTTGATTTACTAGCTGTCAAAAATTGGTGCTTCTGAACACCAGAGCATTGCATCATGACAAGTACTATACCAAGTACCACCAAAGCAGGACACTGTTAGTTTTCTATATAGACTCAATGTAAGGATATTACTCAAGCTATGTATGTACTATCCGAGAATTGCTCAATGAAACCACATGATTTGTTCCTAATATCCTGATATCGTTCCTATTTTCCTAAAAGGCACTGACTTCATTAACAAATGTGTGTCTTGTACTCCCATATTATAATTACATGTATTAAAGGGAATATCCTGTAAACAAATAAATAAATAATATTGTACACAGTTCAACCGATATCACCAGTTTTGGCAAGTGT